GATTATGTTGACATCAATTATATGCAAAACCTCAAGACTTAGAAAAAATGAATTAATCATTGTACTACTAGATACTGCTTACACATGATAAAGATATAACTTCATCATTTTTGTAAACATGTTGAACACAAGTGACGGTTTATTTAAGTTCCACTAATTATATACAATATAAAAAGAGTATGAAAATGGAATTGCTATCGGAATCTCGAGAAAAATCTAAAAAAAATAAACCTCGAAAATGGAACATCTTAAAAAAACAATCTCGAAGATGCAAAATGTCGAAATGTTTTATTTCGAAAATAATGTCATCTCGAACGAGAGCTGGTAAAAACTTTGGAAATGGTCACTTCTTCCTGAGTCTTATATAAATTCGTTCGTCTCGAACTGAAATTCTTATCAAAGGAGTTTATTTGCACTGGCACTCACACATGGGATTTTGGGCGAAGAAAGTGACATTTTTCAGAAATATTGCCAGTGCTGTTGTTGTAAAGCAAAATAGATTTTCTCGAGATTTTTCAATTCGACATTCAGGCACATTACCTGTAATTGATCATTTTTCCTTAAAAATATCTAAAAGACGTGAGAATAAGAAGTTGTCACTCATTTGATAATATAGAAAAATAAAAAAACGACTGCTCATACATTTATATTATAATCGTTCATGGATTTGTTCATCTTAATTTATTTTTGTGTACTTTTATCTATGATGATTGGCGTTCATTTTTTGACAATATATATTTATTTGCATGTAATGGACTGTACACACAATTGTCTTGCACACAATTATCCATCCACACAATTGTCTTTCACACAACTGTCTTGCACACAATTGTCCATGCACACAATTGTCTGCACACAATTGTCTTACACATAATTGTCTTACACACAATCGTCGTGCTCCCAAAAGAAATGCAGGACATCAGTTCAGTTATTCAAAGGCCTGCATAGGTCGCTAATTTACATGTTTTTGTTAGATTCTTCACTTTCGAAAACCTTATAAAAGGTTAAAAGACAACAATGACTAAGATTTTCGAAAAAAATCATTTTTCTGATTTCCAGTATCATCAGTATATCTTGTGTAAAACCGTAAAAAGCCATCAGAATTTCAATAAACCATACTGTATTCGAAGGTAGACAGCAAGGGCTATCCAACCATATAAAAATCTCAAAATCGATTTTTTTTGACGAAAATCGCGATTTTTGACAAAGGGGAGGGGTCTCTAAGAAATTTTGAAAATTTTCAAATTTTCATAGATGCCAATATAATAAAATGGATTTCTTCATTTGAGGATTTCATGCATTGTTATTGTATAGGGCATACTGTATATTTTTCTGTTGATCCTCGAAAACCCCACGGTTTTACATCAGCAAATTCAATCAACCAGTTGCGTATAACTTTTACAGTGAGGTCGTATTCGGTAAAGAATCGATAATACATCAAATCGACAAAAAATTAGGCTCAACACCACAGCGTTTCCATTTAGTCTGAATAAACACATTTCCATATCATGAATATATGGTCTGTCTATATGCACAGGAGTTGGTGTACTCAAAAATAACTTACGCGGCATAATCAAACTGAATACATACTATATTGACATTTTTTCCCTGCAATATTGGTTTTGTTTTTAATTTTACCTTCTACATAATTATATCGATCTTAACGATTTCACTTTATACTGTTCTTTATTTTTATGTTAATTAAAACTACAGTATAACCTCTTCATAGTGGACACCTAAGGGACGCTTCCAAAGTATCCACTATATGGAGGCGTCCACTTTGACTAGGTTTTTGATGTTTTTCTTAGTATTCATTTCTGTAGTTATCCAAGCGAATAAAACTCTCTTTTTCAATATTATTTCGCAATTAAAGGCGTTTTGAAGATATTTTGTGTGATAATTCATTCAAAACTACCTTTTCAATACAATTTATTGACAAAATTTTGAATTTACCTCTGATTAAATAAAACAATGGCTGATCTCATCTTTTATGCTGACTTTTATTTGTCTCGTTTATTTTTCTCTTCGTCTATTTCTAACTAGTGTATGCTGTTTTTTTTTGTCCCATTCACTTGTTCTATATCTGCTTGATTTTTTTTATGTTTCGCCCAGTACTCTTATCTATCGATTCTTCACCCTTGTTGCGTAGTAGTCGTAGGATCTACACAGACTAGACGAAATAAAAGTGAACTAAATAACGCGATGGGTCCGTTCACATTTAAATCATCTTGAACATATGATTTATTGTTAAATTCAGTCTTACCTCGTCTAGTCTGTTTGAGATCATACTAATTAAATCAATGCGCATATACATGGACAGCGTTGGTTGAATGAAAAAGCATAATGAACTTAAATAAGCGTCCACATTGGAGAGGTTATTTACTGTACACGAGATCGGAAAAAAGTATCCACAATCCAGAATAGGAAGGTGTCCACGCTCAAGACGTTCATTTCCAGCGAAAACAGCTCGGGCGGACTGAAAGGTATCCACAATGAGGAGATGTCCGTATAAAGAGGTTTTACTGCATTTTTGGTCAATTATGCATTTCAGGTGATATCGAACCACAGTTTCATTTAGTACCAGTATTCTTAATTACTATTGGTACATATATTTTCTTCTGGGTGTGAATAGAACGTTGGTTTCCTGTTCATCCACACTCACACCCTCCAAGAACTAATTTTTACTTTAGCCACCCACTATATCTTAAAATAATTGAGATGCTCTTATATACAGTGTTGTGGATCAGTATGATATAATTTCATTCTTAAAAGTAAGGAAAACAAGTAAACATAGTTCAAAGAAACATCTTTCACATTCCCGTTCATTACATACAATTAAAGAACAGAATAACAATTTCTAGATTTTTCTTTCCAAGATTATTCGACATAACCGTAACAATTTATGATTGAAGTACAAAATCCATTGAAATACAGTATATTTCGAAGATATATAAAATAAGAAAGTATACAGTAGGAGATGAAATCTATAATGCAAGAATAAGTGTCTTTATTTTGTAGTGACAGTGATAAATATGAAGCGAAAATGAAAATCAATCTTGTGTAGAGTTATTGTTTTGCCGTATTTACTATATCAGTCAGACTATTGTATGGCAAATTTCATTGTGTAGTGATGGCTTCGGCTTCATGAGAAGATGCGATCGCGTCTCTGGCCCGGCAGCAACGCTCGAAAATTTGCGTAAATTCCGCTAGAAATTTTGAAATCTGTTCTGGTTGAAAATAGTGCTTGTATTCAATCGATTTTTGTGTCACATAGTCGTTCAAGTCTTTAGCAAGTCTAGCTAACAGATCTTTCTCATGATCGAATATACCACCTTCCATTACACATTCCTGTTCCTGAGCCCATTCGATGAAGTAGATCATATGCAAACAAAAAACATAGACGACTGGTTTCATTGATGATGATACAATTTCAACAATATCAGGAACAATCTCTTTGGCATATTTGCCTTGAATAATAAAGAAAAGTTTTCGACATTCTTGCTCGAAGTAATATAATNTTCTCGAAAAAAAAGATGTTTTTCACGGAAAATATGCATATCTTGCACAAAGCGTATCTTCTCAACGATACGTGATGAAAGGCTCGGCCTTGCGTAGATTAAAAGAGGAACCCTTGCTGCATCTAGAGATCACGTTGAAATAAAAAAATCTATTTAAAACACTTCGGGTTCGGTCACACGCAAAATCTTCGACGTCCAATTAAGGACGTTATCCTTTGGTAACTAATTGGATTGAACGTTGACGCAACCCCCAGAAGCTATTCTTTCTAGTGCTGAGGGGCCGATATCTCTAGCTTGAAATGATCGGGAGATATTTATCTTAGAGTTTTCACCATTTACTTTTGGCGTCGACATTACTAAGTGGTACCACTTACAACTTACCGGTAAGTGGTAACTAGTGCCACTTACCGCTTGCCAGTAAGTGGTAAGGGATTAAGATTACCATGCAAGAATAAATGACAAATAATTAATATGATCATTTATTAATGCTAAATCGACAATTATTCAATGATTACAACACTTACCACTTTCCTGGTAAGTAGTAAGTGGTGGTAAGTGGTAAGTGTGACAGCCCTAACCTACATTTAATTAGTCAAAAACCCACGAAAGATTTACAGTAGAATCATCCATAATGTATCATGAGTGGTCTATCTTCAATTAGATATAAACCACTTACAGCTTACCGGTAAGTGGTAAGTGATGAAGATTACCATGCAAGATTAAATGACCAATAATTAATATGATCATTTATTAGTGCTATATTGGTAATTTTTTTATGATTAAAACACTTACCACTTACCTGGTAAGTGGAAGTGGTGGTAGGTGTGACACCCCTAGTATGCACAAGGAGGAGGTGTCCACTTTAGAGAGATATCCAAATAGGGAGGTTATACTGCATTTTTTCATCAATTATGCATTGCAGGTGATATTGAACCACAATTTCATTTAGTATCAGTATTCTTAATTATTATTAGTACATATATCTTTTTTTGGATGTGGATAGGACGTTGGTTTCCTGTTCATCCACACCCTCCAAGGACTAAGTTTTACTTTAGTCACCCACTATATCTTAAAATAATTGAGATGTTCTTATATACAGTGTGATCGATCAGTATGATATAATTTCATTATTAAAAGTAAGGAGAACAAGTAAACGTAGTTCAAAGAAACATCTATCACACTCCCGGTCATTACATACGTTTGAAGAACAGGATAACAATTTCTAGATTTTTCTTTTCGAGATTATTTTGATATAACTGTAACAAGTAATGATTGAAGTACAAAATTCATTGCAATACAGTATATTTCGAAGATATATAAAATGAGAAAGTATACAGTAGGAGATGACATCTATAATGCAGGAATAAGTGTCTTTATTTTGTATAACAGTGATAAATATGAAGCGAATATAAAAATCAATCTTGTATAGAGTTATTGTTTTGCCGTATTTACAATATCAGTCAGACTATTGTATGGCAAAGTTCATTGTGCAGTGATGGTTTCGGCTTCATGAGAAGATGCGATCGCGTCTCTGGCCCGGCAGCAACGCTCGAAAATTTGCGTAAATTCCGCTAGAAATTTTGAAATCTGCTCCGGTTGGAAATAGTGCTTGTATTCAATCGATTTTTGTTTCACATAGTCGTTCAAGTCTTTAGTAAGTCTAGATAATAGATCTTTCTCATGATCGAATATACCACCTTCCATTACACATTCTTGTTCCTGAGCCCATTCAATGAAATAGATCATATGCAAACAAAAGACATAGACGACTGGTTTCATTGATGATGATACAATTTCAACAATATCAGGAACAATCTCTTTGGCATATTTGCCTTGAATAATAAAGAAAAGTTTTCGATTTTTCACATGTGGTAAGCATTGTCGACAACTATCAACAGAGTCCACCATCTTTAAATTATTGGTAATTTGACGAAATTCCATTTTGAGTGCTCGACAATTTTCGTCACGACCAATGTATTCATCAAGCCAAATTACCATTATATTACTTCGAGCAAGAATGTCGAAGGGATTCACAGGCTGTTTCAAAAACAAAGATTCAAGTACAAGATTGCCAAAAGTGTTTTTCCAGGGGAGTACCACTATAATTTCAGATAGAAGACCTAATAGATTTTATATCAAATGAAAGCTCGTCAAAAGTGGAGTTTGTTGATACTAAATAGTAAGGATTATGAAAACTTTTTAATATCGAACTTAAGAAATTTCAAGAAATTCTATACTTTTTATGAGCCCGTCAAGCACTACAAATCAGAATATATATTAAAAATTTTCTAAGTCATTTTTTTTTGATAAAAATTTAAAAATAACCATTTAGGAAATCTGAAACAACGTTAAAAATGTTACACTTTTGATATAGAAGAGAAACACTCAAATTTTCAAAAATAAACTACTTTTTCTTCATTATTTCTACTTTCTCAGACATTCTTAAAACATATTCATTCGATGCAGCGTGAAAAACTATATCGAATGTATATATTTTCGAACATTTTACATAAGAATACTAATAGAAAAAAGCCACTAAAGTTAGTATAAAAAAGGTCACTTTTTCTCTATAAAGTGTTTGAAAAAGTCGCCATTTTTAGTACATTCTTTAGACATTTTTCAGTAAATATAAACTGAACAACTCTATTTAATAATTATTTCGTATATACAGCTTTGTAGTGCTCAACGAGCTTTAATGAAGCATGTAAAAATATCCAAGAGAAGCTTTTGACTACATTTTAAAATTACTCGGACCTTACTTTTCTACTACAAAAAAAACAAAATTTCTCAAAACTTCTTACGTTCGATGTTAAAATGTTTTTACAACCCTTAGTATTTAGTATCAATAAAGTCCATTTTAACCAGCTTTCATTTGATACAAAATTCATTATATCTCCTATTCGAAATTATAGGGATACTCCCCTGGAAAAACATTTTTGGCAGTCCTGTAGATTATGTAAGTCCTCCGCAAAATATTTTGATAAAAAGACACCAATCGACTTCTGTGTCTAACGAAGTAGATAATTGTAAAGAGTTAGACGTAATATTTACCTGAATATCTTCGGATGATTCGATATGGCTTTGGTTTTCGACTGTGTTATGTATCACTGCTGGCATACTTGAAGTTGTAGTTGCTAGAGTTATCAAAAGAACAGGATGATCGTCAGTTCTATCTTATAACCGGTTATGACAGAAAAAACTTTTTTATTGTGTCCTGTGGATGACAGGACAGCACATAAAAAAATGATGTTGCTGATGTACTTTAGTAGATTTTGCTCAACGATAGCGCTTTAACCCTTGCATAAGCACGAATTGCTGAAAAAAGGGTGATAGACAATCGTGCATTTTATGCTGAGCAAAACTTTCTATGAATTCGGAGATTTTGGCTGATTTTTAATAACATAAGCCGTCCTACACGGTAAGAAAAGATAGAAAGAAATACTTTTTATGAATCATCCAACAGGATACGATAAAACTTTGTCATCTAGACAACTCTATTGCTTACCTAACTTCGATTTCACCTTGCGAATGGTCTTTTCTAGCTTTTCAATGGAAACATGAGTCGACGGAAAAGTTTTCAGCCACGTTTCGCGAGCTTTTTCGAGATAATCTAACGCTTCCTTATAATGTTGTTTTGACTGGTACATCATTCCCATATTTGCATAGGTTTGTCCGAATTGTGGGTGATCTTGTCGAAGATGTTGATGATCAATTTCAAGTCCTTTCTGAAAATGTTCCAGTGCCAAGTCGAATTTCTTTGCATTTGTATAGATGTTAGCCAGATTCTTGTGAACAGTTGAAATATGACTTGAAGATAGCTCGGAAGCTCGAGCAAATTCGAGTGCTCGATGATGATAAGCAATAGCTTGATTATAGTCAAGTTTTAACCAATAGACTTTACCTATTGAAAGGTAGCATGATATAATATCTTCCTTTGTGCTAGGCGAATCGCTGGTCATCATTATACCAAGCTGCTTATTGTAAATATTTAATGCCTCGTCATAATTTTTTAATTCAACTTCAACTGCACCCATTGACTTGTAACACCGAGCCAAATCAGAAGCACTTAAAGATGGCTGTTTTAAGACAGCTTGAAAATGTTCTCGGGCCTTTTCATATTCACATTTCCAATATAGCCAGTCACCCGCAGAGAAAAGATCATCCTGCTTTGGAATAGCTGATCCCATTTCTTTTGTTGGATTAGCGAACATCTAAAAAGCGATAAATATTCAAGAACTGGGAAATAGAAATTTCTATTCAATTCCTTTAAAGTTTCCTGGTTCACAACGTTAAAAGATACGTCATTCAGGCATTTTTTGCGCTTACATCTACATCCATGAACAATTGTGTAAAGATAAATGTTTGGATATGAAAAATAGTGTAGAAAATGCACTACTTTGACCCTTGCTAATCATAGAATTGTACATAAATTGACGATCTATTTCCTATCCCCCAGAGAATTATCGTCACTCTACTAATAGTTTCTCATCAGTTTAGGAACTTCTATTTTTCAGTTGTTGTACATTGTTGAAAATAGTTGATGATTTATACGAAGGAAAATAAAAGCATAGAACAAGCAACCTGCTTTCCCTATTTTGATTTTACATGATGATCTATTTAATTTCAAACTGAATTTATAGAACAAACTCGGTTTCGAATCGAAATATGGGTCTTGCGAGTCTAAAGAAAAATATCATCATATATGACGACTACTACATGCTTTGTGTTGGATGCGAGTCTTACGGATCTAACAGGGCGCAGGAAATATTTCATCATCTATACACATTAACTCACCCATTTTTTTCTGAGTGACTCTTGAGGGTCTAAGAAAATACATTTGACTCTTACTTTCATACTGGCGTTCACATAAGGGTACAGATATAGGATATAACTGATAATATAATTTCTTAGAACCGCGAGATCACACCGAAAAGAAAGCGGTATGGTAATAGATATAGATGATGAGATCTTTTTGAAGATTTTCGAGATCGATAGCATATGCAAATTAATATCTAATGTAGATGGTGCGCTGAGAATGGTGTAATCTAATTGAATATAATTGGTTGTGTTCACGTAGAACAGTGCGGATCTGTCATTTCAGGTAAAACTACACTGCTTTGTTTAAACCTGCAAAATCTGCGCGTTTTTTTCCATTAAATTCAGTTTGAACGGAAACAGATCATAGACTGTTTGACTTATAAAAGGAAAAAGAAAAAACGAAAAAGAGCAAAGTTAGTTGTTTGTTGCCAAACATGTGTTTTATTCCGAAAACGACAGATGTACTCTTATATTCAGAGTGGCCTATAAATAGCTTTATGATAAAAAATTTAAACAACTCTACCAAGTATCAACCGAACGAACTGAAATTTTTACCAGCGATAGAGGACTGCTTGAAATTGTTTTCATACTAGACATATCGACATATACCTATTTCTGTCTAGTAAGATTGATATTAAGAAGGATTTTTTATTTGTTACGAGCTTTACAAAACATAGAGGACATATTTTCATCATAGTCGGACTTTTGTTCGACAAAATAAAAATGATAATCGATTTTGAAGATTTTCAGTGTGATAGCACAAAGCAAATCTTCAACGTCGATTATTATTTTTTGTTGAACGATTCTCAATTATAATGGAAATATTTTTCATCATGTTTTGTAGAGCCCATAGCAAATGAAAAATCCTTACTAATGTTAATCTTAATATTGTCGATTTCAAAATATAATGCCCTCTACTGGTTTTGAATAACTCGAAGACGCAATTAGCTAAAGATCTCCAGTCTTCTGGAATCGAAAGGAGAGATCTGGGACGTCTTTTTCTTCAATAATGTGTAAGAGGAAATCCTGTTAAGACTAATTATTTTCAAAAAGCATGTGAAAGAAGGCTTTCAAAGTGAGCTGCGATCCATGTTAGATTTTGATTTTGACCTTCAATTCAGATAGAGGAACCTCAACTCCATAGTTCAAGATATAACACGGTTGTCTTACTTTTCATCGCATTTCCATCAAAAATCAAGCTATTATAATGAAAAGTGAGAAAAGTTAGGAAACTCACTATTACTTGAGCTTATAAACACAAGATTCAATTCGATCAATGGTAGAATGTAATAAGAGAAGCTGATTTTCATACTATCATG